AGCATAATTGAAAACTTTAAATTAAAAAAATGGGGAGGTTTTTTTTTTTTTTTTTTTTTTTTAAATTTCTAATATATTTTTATTTGGGTTTTTTTCTGACCAACCGGAACTTGTTAGGACCCTCGCCCAGTTTATTAATTTTGAATTAAAATAAAAGGTTTAATTTTTTTTGTTAAAGTAAAATCTTTTCACATTAACTAAAAAAAATTGTTTCATTATTTGTGAGTTAAATGCGCATAAATTACTAATTACACAAATACATTTATAACATAAATATCTCTATCATAGATAAAAACATGTCAGGGCCGATGACACGGGTTTTGAAGTGGGGGGAGGGAACAATCATCAATTTGAAAGTTTTCTATATCAAGATTTTTCTTTAAAATAAATAAATAAATAAATGAAAATAAAAAAAAAAGTGCCCTCCTAGCGTTCCCGGTGTCGTTCGCCCTGAATTTGCAGCAAATTTTAACCAGTATTTTTATGTTTTCATTAATTTCAAGATTTTTTAAAAATGAATTCCTCTTGTTAAATAACTTAACTGTTATTTGGGGAGGTGAATAGAGCAGTTTTAATTATTGATAAAGATATGTTTATAGTATGCATGCAATTTTTAAAGAACTATAAAACTGTTTTGTTTTGTAATTTAAAAATTAGCAATTTTTTGGAGAATTTGTTTAATTTTTTCAATATCTAGATGAAAACTTACCCAGCTGCTGTTGATTTTTAAGGGCCTGTCAATAAGAATTTTAATAAGTTCTAGTTCATAATTAATATTACACAGGCTAGTAAAATTAGTCAGTAAGCGTGTATACATTTTTAAATAAATTGTTGAAGTATTAAATTATTTTACATAGTTAATCTTTGTATTTAGAAAGTTGGCGATCAACTTCTTCCTCTTTAGTGAACTTAAGGTTAGTATGTTATTTATTAATATATTCAAAAAAAGTAAGTACATTATTTTTTTTATCAAAGATAGAAAAGATATTTATATATATGAAGATTATAGTTTTTAGCAGATAAAAGTTGGTAGCGACAGCTTTCTCTAACAGCAAAAATATTCGTGAATGCGCAGGGTTGGTTTTTTGTTTACGGTAAAAGACAAATTCATATTTTGAGTATTTTTGAAAAGAAGTAAAGATAATGAGGGTTAGATTGATAGTGCTGAAATTATATTACTTTTAAAGTCTTGTTTTGTAAGTTAAGTTAACTTAAAGATTCTTGGGAGCTATTTTGTCCCCAAACTTGACTTGCGTATCTAAGAAAATACACGACAATATTTTAATTAATAGAGCTAGATATATAATTGTTTAAACATGCCCAATCAGTTTCAATTATAAGTTAATAGTAAAGTAGCTGATGTATAATAAAGAAAAATAAATGCGATTTTAAGACATCAAAACAAATTGCACCCTGCATTGGTTAGCGTTAATAAAAAAAGTATTTAATTGAATAGGAATACAAAGATTAACTTTTTGTATTGGTAGGCCAAATATTTAACAAGATTCTTAACTATAATCTTACCAGTCCAATTTTTTAGGCTGCTGGATTCACTTACCAATTTTTAGTATAATTTTATCAAGAGGTTAATTGTACAAGTGTAGGAAGTGGTTTAGCTTCTTCTATATTGGAAAACAATTGATTAGTGTTTTGATTTTTTTGATGGTGGTTAATCTTGCGGGTTTATTGAATAATTATCTCGCACAGGGTTAGTTTTATGTTGCAAAAGTAAACCGATAAAAGTCTATTAGTTGGCAACTTCCAATTTTCAAATTCCAACTATGAAATAGAATTTCTAACTTCCAGTTAAAGTTTTTTTGCACTTAATATACTTGTACATCACATTATAGTTTTTCTTTTGTTAAAAATGTTTCGAGCTGAATTAATCTTTTCTCATACTCAATGTAAGAAACCACTTTAATATTAGAAAATCTTTAAATAATCCGCAAATTTAAATCTCCTGATAGCTAAAGTAATACCTTAAGACTGATCAACAATCAGATTTAATAAAAGAGAAAGAAGTTCTAACTTTCAATTAAATTTCCAACATTCAAATAATTTTGCTTTAATCTTAATAAACCATTATTAGTTTTTTTTTTTTTATATCAAAGATTATCTTGTATAAATAAATAAAAACAGTGCATAAAGAAACAAACTATATAAACATAAATATATAAACAAACTATAAAGAACATTTAACTTGGCTATTTTTTAACAAATGTAACATTATTTTAAAAAGTAGGCTATTGACTAAATACAATCAAAGTATTAAAATGCCAAAAAATATTCAAACCTTAAACATTAAAAAAACAAAAGATGATAAATCGAACGCTCCAGCTAAAATGCATATCAGAATTGATTTTGTTTTTGTAGAAAAAATGTAGTTGCTCATCTAAAAGATAATATATATATATATATATATATATATATATATATATATATATATATATATATATATATATATATATATATATATATATATATATATATATATATATATATATATATATATATATTGATAAATGTTGTATACTGCTGGAAATACAACTCTTGTCTGTTTAAGAGTGATCAATATCTTTTTTTAAAAAATAGATCAAATTATAATAATAAAATAATTTAAATGAAAAAAATACACTTTATAATGGAACTAATAGTTTCATGCCATTCGGCAATCATCAGCCATATTATTCATGTAAAAAATAAAAACCGTTATAAAAAATACAAAATTAGCGTTGCAACGGCATCTGACGTCAATTGTACGTGATCCGATATTTGCTAATCGCCGGAATCAAAGTTAGATAGTAAAAAATTTTTCCTATGCCTACAAGCAGAAACCAATTCACTTTTTTTGTTGAGTAGTATTCGGCTATCAAAAGTCATAATAAAATACTTTTCATTGATGCAAAGGTTACACTTTTTTGTAGATGGGTTAAAAGATTGGCATCTTTTAATTATGTTCCACTTAATTATAGGCATGTTACCCGCGTCTTTAAGTTTCCAGATTTCCTTGGAAAGTTCCGTATCATTCCTATACCTGGTTGCATTAAATGATTTAAGATGGTTTGCAAATCTGAGCTTGAATGTGTTTTCACTAATTCCGATGTAGGATTTTTCAGTAAGACTGGTATTAGGTGATTCTAAAGTGGCTTTATAAACAACATTTTTTGATAGACATTGATTATTTAACGGGCATGTGGTTTTATTAATCCAGTTGCAGTTTATATCATTATCGTTAAGTTTGTTGCGCAAAATTTGTTGGTTGTGTGAATTAATTATTGATCGAATATTTGGCATGCAGCTGTAACTAATTTTTGTTGTGTTTCTGTTGAATATTTTGTGGAGCTTATGATGTAATGGAAAATGATGCATTAGAAAAATCTGGATTTCACACCATTCTCCAATATCATTCAAATCTAAATTCTTCTATTACTAATAAACGAAAAAGAAATATTATATGGTTTAACCCTCCTTACAGTAAAAATGTGATAACAAAAATTAGACATATTTTCTTAAACTTAATTGACTTGCATTTTCCATAACATCATAAGCTCCGCAAAATATTCAACAGAAACACAATAAAAATTAGTTACAGCTGCATGCCAAATATTCGATCAATAATTAATTCACACAACCAACAAATTTTGCGCAACAAACTTAACGATAATGATATAAACTGCAACTGCATTAATAAAACCACATGCCCGTTAAATAATCAATGTCTATCAAAAAATGTTGTTTATAAAGCCACTTTAGAATCACCTAATACCAGTCTTACTGAAAAATCCTACATCGGAATTAGTGAAAACACATTCAAGCTCAGATTTGCAAACCATCTTAAATCATTTAATGCAACCAGGTATAGGAATGATACGGAACTTTCCAAGGAAATCTGGAAACTTAAAGACGCGGGTAACATGCCTATAATTAAGTGGAACATAATTAAAAGATGCCAATCTTTTAACCCATCTACAAAAAAGTGTAACCTTTGCATCAATGAAAAGTATTTTATTATGACTTTTGATAGCCGAATACTACTCAACAAAAAAAGTGAATTGGTTTCTGCTTGTAGGCATAGGAAAAATTTTTTACTATCTAACTTTGATTCCGGCGATTAGCAAATATCGGATCACGTACAATTGACGTCAGATGCCGTTGCAACGCTAATTTTGTATTTTTTATAACGGTATTTATTTTTTACATGAATAATATGGCTGATGATTGCCGAATGGCATGAAACTATTAGTTCCATCATAAAGTGTATTTTTTTCATTTAAATTATTTTATTATTATAATTTGATCTATTTTTTAAAAAAAGATACCCAGCGGGCACAGACGTGAATCAAACGTCTTACGGACGTCTTAACTAGGTCGCGACGTCTCAGACCAAATTAGGACGTCCTAAAGACGTCTGGTAAAGACGTCTTTGTTAGGACGTCCTTGTGACGTTAATATTAGGACTTGAATATTTAGACGTCCTATTGACGTCGCTAAGACCTACATAAGACGTCCTAATTACCTTAAAAATAAGTAAAAAAATTAATACTATCAACTTGGCGCATACAATATTATGCGCAAACTCGGTTATATAAATATGTCTACTTGTTTTGGTTGATTATTTTAAGACTATTATTTTGTTTAGTTATTTATCGTTTAAAGATATTTTTTAATTTTCTATATTCTATACTCTATGATCTATAAACTATAATCGATACAATATTTAAAAAAAAGAGTAACTAAGTTACAAGTATAATAAGGGAATTTTAACAAAAGACATCAAAATTGCACCAAGACTTTTCACTTTGTGTTTTATAGAATAGTATTGATATTTTTGTGTGTCTGTGTTATATATAAATTAATATATACATATTAATTTATATATATATATAATATATATATATATATATATATATATATATATATATAAATATATAGTATATATATATATATATATATATATATATATATATATATATATATATATATATATATATATATATATA